ATTTAGCCAGAGCTGCGGCATCGCCGTGGCGACCGCGGGATGAAAGGTAGCGGACGCGGAGGTCGAGGAACACCGGCGGCTCGGAGCTAATGTAACGATCCACTGAGGGGATAGACAGGAAGTTAATTTTCAGGCACGTTTTAACAATAAAACTGCATAAAGTGGAAGACTCCGTTATTTACCTTCAATCTGAGGTAAACTGGATTCACTGAGGATGGCCTGTAAGGCGGGGCTGGCCCACGGTCCGCCCTGCTGGAGGAAGCGCTCCACTTGAAGTAGAAAAACATTTTCATACTTCGCTAAGACTGAATGACACTCCTGGAAGAGAAAGACAACAACATGCTGAAGATCTCTTCTTCAAAGTAACCCAGGAAACATTACTGGAGAAAAACTAATAATACAACTATGGTGACGTAAATTTCCACCAAAAGCTCTGAAATTTTGAGATCAATTTAACATATTTATGACAAAGAAATTGTAAATTGTCTGATGTCAAACAGTCATAAATTTGCAAGAAAAAACAAAAAAACATTTTCCAAAATGAAACGTATCAACTTACCTGGAATGTAGCAGTGAAATGTTTTAGCGGCTCCTCATTGAAATCCTTCTGGTCAAAGAACAGCAGCAACTCAAACACACTCCTATGGAAAGAAATCAGAGCAAATATTTATTAATCACTATACAACTTCTGAAGCCTGAGGAAAGGGGGAGTGGTACACACACACACACACACACACACACACACACACACACACACACACACACACAAATACCACAATATGATAATGTGAAAATAGATCGAGTGCTTTGCAAATTTATTAAAAATAGAAAACCATAAACTGCTTCTTTAAATGTATTAAATTATATTTCTCATATAATTTAACAATAACTTTGTAAGTGACACAGAGAATCAACAGACATTATTCTTAATTTTAAAAGGAACCAATTTTTCTCCCCGTGAAGTCATGCTCATGATAGACCTGAGGCCTGTTTCAGTTTATTTCTAGCTAAATCTCATATCTGACATTCTGGATTCTTTGACTTCTTTATTTATAAACACAAGAATAAAAAAGCCTTTGTTCAATTACGATTTTTTTCATTTGCTTCAGCAGCCTGTTTGAATCTTGTTGTCCGGGATGCTGCTTGAAATCTAAAAGTTAAAAGTTATTACTCGATAATAACCAAACGCATGGGAGCGATTCATGTACTCACAGCGCCAGAGTACTGATGGTGTGGCCGACATGATCACAGCTTGTTGGGAAGAAGGCCGAGACTCGAGAAAAGTGCCGCAGAGCCACTTGGAGGATCCTGAGGCGAGGCAGCGGGACGCGCCAGTGAGAGGCCGACTCCTCCACCACCTGTAGAGTCAGCAGAGACGAGTCAAAAACAAAATGCACAAGAACAGTTCGATGTTTGTGTCAGAAATGAAGCTTAAATCTGTGTTGAAAGTCAGCACTATATGTCGTTGTGTGTGCAATATTCGTATCGCAAAGGATTGTTTTGGAATGCCATGATTATTGGATAAGCTATTGAAAGTTTTACATTTGCACTTTTCATGCTCATGTATTATTTAGAGAGTTGATAAGTCTCACTGCTGCAGATGATCACTGGATGTGAATGACCTTACTCAAAATGCCAAAGGTCACAGACCAAGGAAGATTTTCTGACATCGTGCAGCCCCAATACCAGTCATTGTTACAAAATTGAAAATAAAAAGGCCACAATCTTTCATTTACAGTGTAGAGCCAGTTCCCTTTTAAAAGCATATATTTATCTATCCACAAAACCTAATAACTTAAAAAAAAACCCAGCAGGTTTCTTCTACACAGTAAATACCATAAGATTATTCTGAGGCATTTACTACATAAGTGGCCGAAATAGTGGCACTATTAAATTATTCACCATTGTAGAATAACGGCTTCATTTATTTTACGTAAATAATGCAGTGACATTAAGCAAGTTTCAGGTTTGGAGAGCACCTAATGATGTATAAATACGTTTTAAACCGCTGCAAATGAACTTGTTATTAATTTAAGAAGCTAAACGTCGAGGCTAATCAGCATGACTAAATGTGCGATTAAAATGCAATTAAGAATTAAATATAGTAATCTTGATATAAACGTATTTAATGGCTGTTAGTTGCAACACATAAGGCAGTTGGTTCGTCACTGAAAATAACGGGCAACAAACTTGATGGTACATTTTGAGTTAGCTAAACAGTTAGCTTCAACCAATAGCCTTGTTAGCTGAACAGAAAGCTATTAATGTCACGTTCTAAGCGCCATACAGATTTGGCTATTTTCATTGTATCTCCTTGGTATACGTTTGGAATACTGGGAACATAGTTTAAAACATTTTTAATCCGGTTTTTAAAGGTTTGTAAAGACCTAACGTCGTAGCAGCTACGTGCTAAAAAGGTCCGATGCTAATGCAGTTCTGGGGGAGGGGATTCGGCTAACATTAAGGCTCTTATCTTCGACAACAAGCCCAGTACCGTGTTCAACAACGGGACTATTACCTTGCAGAAATCAGCGCAGAACAGCTCGCTGTCAGCTCCGGATTCGTCACCTGAGTAGCGGCTCAGTAGGCTCTCTAACTGCTTTTCTAGCCCCTCTGAGTCGCTCATACTGCTCCCCTCCGCCATACTGACTGTCTAGCCTTGCTCGTAGCGTTTACCACACAACGCACACAGCCACCATCCCCGGCGCTGATTGGACACCGTTATCACTTAAGGGAGCGTTCATTTGCTACACCTCTGTACGCCAGCGGCAGGTAAGTTGAGGCGGAGCGATGAGGATCCAACCAGCCGATAACACCGGGCTCCCAAGTAACGTTTACATGCGCCTCTAAACACATGGCTGACACAAAACACAGCGCCTTAATGGCTTTAAAACTGTCGTTCACGTACTCTTTTAGAAAATTAATTATGGAAAATTGTACCTTTTACAAATGTATATTTATATAAATTAAAACATATGTCAAATCTAATAAGTTACTACAATACAACTTAATGTCTTCCAAATATTTCACTCTATTTTTTTATTCTTATTCGTGTCTTCAACTCTGAGGATCTGCTTCTAATTCACACGCACAAAGAAAACACTGAACATTGAAATGAGCCCAGGATAAATATCTGTGTTAATTTATCTAACTGGGACCCATTTAACTCGCTGCTGTCAAGCTGTAAACTAGTTAACTATTCCGCTACAACCTCATTTTGAGCGGCGGGTTTTTGCCATCTTGTGGCAAAAATTACACAAATAAAGCTGGTAAAATGCATTATTTTACCAGTTTTAAATAATGACTTTAAAGCTGATAAATGTATTATTATTCGTGTTTCATGAATTTCCAGCATTTCCGGAAACAGGAAATGCTGGAAATTCAGGTGTTTTAATTATAAGGAAATGCAGATAATGCAAATTGTGCAGCTTTGTAGTTTCAGTTGCTATTTGTGTCCGCTTTTCTTTGTAAGTGTGAATTAGAAGCAACTCCATAGAGCGTCACTCCTTCTGTTCACTAATAATTACTCATGATTTTATTATTAATCTAATCACCATTACTTAGGGTAGGCTAAAAGATTTTGGTGTGTAATCCCAGCTTGTGACCACAGGAGGGCAATAGAGAGACAGAGAGTTCATGGCAAAAACAAACAAAAAAATTTTTTTTATCAATTAAATATAACTATTTGCTTTAATTACTGCCTGAATACCGTTTTAACTTGTTTCTTTTGACTCAAAGGTTTGACTAAAGTGCCTCAAATATCTTTGTATTAACAGGATGTTTCTGTTCAGACCCGTATTCTGATTCTGAATCGAATCCATCGAAACTCTCTAATTATTAATATAATAAAGGCATATAATAATGGCAGAAAATCCAGCAAAAGTCATTATTTGGGTTTTTGTTGATTTCACCACAAGAAGGGACAGAGAGTGTATGGCAAAAACAAAACAAAACAAAGAAACACAACTTTTAAGGCAGAGCAGGGCGATTTCTGCCATCTGGTGGAAATAGAGGGCAACTACAGCTGTAATTGAGCAGTTATAGTTTTAAAAAATTATAGTGGACATGGTAGAGGGCACTATACCAATTATATACTTATAAGAATATAAGTATACTTATATTATTGTAATTACTATAAATAATTTTAAAGTATAATTACTATTAGTAATTTTAAAGTATAATTACTATAAGTAATTATAGCTTCAGATCTAAAAACATGCTAATCGCTTAGCATCGCTAGCTTTGCTCTGATTCTCCTTAAGTTTAATGACTGCTATATGAATACATGTATTGTTAGTAAAAATGATCTCTAAATAAGTAATTACCAATTCAGTAATAAACATGCAAATAAATTACAAATGATTAGTACTCCTTGTACTAATATAGAGAGCATGTAACAAACGTTTATCAAGAAGTTACCTATGATATCAATAAACATGATTTTACTATCAATTACTGTACCGATTTAATTTCGACAAAACTGTTCAATAACTTTGCTTAAACTTTATTTATTCAGAGACATTCATTGAATAAAAGCAATGCAATACAAAATATTTCCTCCAAGACACATCTATGATCAAATAGTCAAGACGTCTTCACAGTTACATGACAGACTTTGCGCTGAAACAAAATTAGGAAAAAAATAAAGTAAGCTCATCATGTTTGCTTATATACAGCAAGACCATTTACGGCCCCTTTTTTCTGTTTCAATGCAGAAATCCAGCTTTACAATCACACGTTTCTTTAAAAACGATTAAAGCATAACTCAAAAGGTCTCAAAGACGTCTCACAGATGAGAAATAAGCCGACCAGAAATTAAAAACTTACAAAAGATTTGCTTTCTACTCTGTAAGGACAGAAAATGATAATAAAAAAAACATTCTGAAACTCCAGACCAAGCTGAATTAATGGATTTAAGATCAGAAACTAGCTGAAAATAAGAGATAACTACAACCCAAAAAACTTCAAGAATACTTTTTCCAACTCTCCTGAACTCATCCATGGTCATCCTTTTATTTTTTGGGGGCGAGAAAGCTTTAGTCAGCTGATCACATCTCATCGGTGGACTCCGACACGGAGCGCTCTCTTCGTTCCCGGCCAGTGACAAAGTTAAGCAGGTCGACGGCTGTCACCACACCGAAAACCATCTGCTTCAGCGCGGTCGAGCCGTTGGTCAGGTCTAGTAAAGAGACAGGAGGAAGGAGAGAGAAAGTCCGTTAAAGGCAGACATGACACGGAGCAGACGGGGCTCCGGGTTTAATCTAGAGCAACGTAGAAAGTTACACGCTTATCTCTGGCAGACTCTGAAAGGTCAAGTAAAGGTTGTTTGAACTTTATTCCCAATGACACAAGACGGAACTTTGATCGACAATCGATAGCGTTCGACCCATGATGCAATAAATACTGATTATGTAGCTCTTTTCCAGCTTCAGCCTCAAGTTTCAGTGATGTAAAGCTGAAGAAAAAAAAAACAAAAAAACAAAACAAAGAAAGCCGCCATTTATCAATGTTTCTTCTCCAAACTTACATTGGATCTGTTCATGCACCACCAGGGCAAAGTGGTCGATTTCCAGAATGCGAGACAAGTTTCCCAAATTATCATTCAGGCGTATCTGTGAAGAAAAGGTTGAGAGAAACAAGAAAAAAAAAAAAAAACAAGAGATTATTTAAAGATGAACGTAAACAATTATTGAGAATTTCCAGATTTTTTAACCAGTTTTTAACCAAGTATAAAAGCAAAACATCAGATCTGATTTTTATCAAACTTTTATTTTATCTGATTATTATTTCAGTCAAAAATAAATTAGTTTTTCTGTTTTCCCAACAGGGTCACGGTTTAAAAATCCCAATGTTCACCTTATATCCATGAGGCAGATAAAGCATAGAAATAGTGAAAGTAAACTTCTCAGATCAGTTTGGAGATTTTAATGAGAGGAGAATAATTGTATTTTCTATATTTATCTGGACGTAGCAAACAGAGAAGTTAAACTCAATACTTGACCTTAAAGGGTTACAAAAAAACAGGTCACACATTTTCCTCGCCACAAGGTGGAGCCAGAGACCAGGCATCTAAATTGCATGCAAGCTTTGGTGATGGCTGTGTGAAATTTAATCCCAGTTAAGAACCTCAGAGGTTTGATAAAGAGAAGTTGGACAACAAACAGCATCATGGAGATCCACGGTGGTGGGAGTATTATGCTGAGTGGATGCCGTGTGTTGAATTTTGAGGGTTTAACATGAAAACATTGCGGCAAGATGCCAAAATTTCATACAAATTATTAAAATTCTGCCATTGGAGGAACATTAAACTAGTTTTCAGCAGTTTTAGTTTCTGATCCTACCTTGCTGAGGGAAGCAACAAAATAAGAAGCAAACGGAGACTTGTGAGGCCGACCTGTTTGAACTGCTTGTAGAGAACTTTGCTGACGGGATCGGACAGCTTGATCTTCCCGGCGAGAATCGATGACAGCATGTTTCCCAGCGTCACCATTCCCAGGATCACCCTAAAGACACGGATGCGGTGATGAAAATCAACACTTCTTCTTCGTTGGGATATTCATTTCTTGCAACATAAGAGGAGCAGCTCACCCCGCGTCGTCCACCACGGGTGCCTGGTCGAAGCTCTTCTCCTTCAGGATCTTGATGGTCTGCTGGCAGCTGACGGTCGGCAGGACGGTGAGCGGCGCCGACAGGTTCAGGCTCTGCACCTTCAGGTTCCACCACCTAGCGAAGCAGGTGCTTGAGCTCCAGGTGTGGAAGCAACAGCTTGGGTTACAAAAGTTTTTAAAGCGCATACCAAGGCTTCTTCACCATGATGTCCTCCTCCCTCAGGAAGCCTTTCTGGACCATCCACTTATCACTCAGGAACTTTGACCTGTAGGGAAAGGAGATGAAAAGCTGAAGCAAACATTGACTAGTGAAACCAAGCAGATGAAGTTTTAAAAAAGATGATTCTCACATGTAGTTGCGGATGGAGTCCGGCAGGATGACGACGCAGCGCTGGTCCTCCTTCAGCTCTTTGGCGAACTTCACAGCTGCAGCCATGGCAGTCCCAGAGCTGCCCCCTGTTGGACAAATCCAGAAGAACAAGGTTGATTGGAGCAAATATTGACTTTTTTTTTTATTCAACTTTAAATCTATGACGGCATTTGAGGGCCATTGTAAATAGAAACATGAATAAATAAAGGAGGAGTAACTTTCCTCCACAAAAACCTTCTAGAACAAACTCAATTCAGAAATTTCAGAGTTTTTACGGGTGAGTAAAGAGTAGAGCATAATAAAAATACTCATTTTTTTCTAAAAACTTAAGTAAAATATAACTGAATCAGATGCATATTTACCACATAGCAGTCCTTCATCCCTGATGAGCATGCGGGCCAGATTGAAGGACTCTTCATCGTTGGATTTGTACCAAGTATCAACAACCTGGAGAAAAAAAAAATCAAACTCAGAATTAAAAGCCAGTCCAGAAGAAACACTTGAGGAAATAAAGAGAGCAGCCAGGACTCACTGATCTGTCGAGGACAGTGGGGATGAAGTCGTAGCCGATTCCCTCCACCTCATACTGGGTCTTATCGGTCTTATTGAGCTCCTCAGGCTCGGCCAGGATGGAGCCTTCTGGGTCGACAGCAATAATCTGCACACATTCATCACAGAAGAGGCAAACAGTCAGGATTCCTACACATTTATCACAGGAAAGAAAAAAAAAAAAAAACGACTTTTCCAACCTGGAAAATCTCAAGCTGTCGGTTATTTTTTACCCTTTTTTTAAGTCTTGAAAGAAAGCTTGAATGAAAACAGTTTAAGAAAAAGGTTGGAAAAGAGGAGGTTTGAAAGAAATAATGACAGTGAAGGCCAACAGGAAAAAGACAAAATCAATCAGTCCTCAGGATACGACATTTTTTCCAAATGCAAGAAAACAGGGAAGAAAGCAAAGAAGTAGGAAAGAAGGAGCGAAAGAATGTTATAAAAAAGAAGGGTATAAAGGAAAGACTTGAAGGCAGAAAGAAGGAAGTGAGGACTCAACCTTTAGACCAAGAACAATGTGCGTCAGACATGTTTCACTAGAACTGAGCTCACTCTGATATTGGGGCATTTCTCCTTCAGCTTGCGGGCGACGCCTGTGATGGTTCCTCCTGTTCCTGCTCCGGCCACCAGCATGTCCAGTTTACCTGCAAACATCCAGCAAACAGACACCAGGCGGGTTAAAGACCCCCACAGGTCCAGGAAACCAGGCAGACCAGCCAGAGGGATGCGTACCGTCGCACTGCTTCAGGATCTCCTCGGCCGTGGTGTCGTAGTGAGCCAGCGGGTTGCTGGGGTTACGGTACTGGTCCAGGATGTGCGAGTCTGGGATCTCGTTCTTCAGGCGCCAGGCCACGCCCACGTGAGACTCGGGTGAATCGAAACGAGCGCTGGTGGGGGTTCGGACGATCTCGGCTCCGAGAGCTCTGAGCACGTCCACCTTAGGAGTAGAAGGTGGAGGACAGATGAGGGAACCTCCATCAGTTTTGTTACAATCAGAATCTGGGTTTAGTTTGCTGGATCTGAAGAGTTGAGATGAGAACAAAGTGCTGGAGAAACAAGGAAAACAGAATTTAAAATGTGTGTGGAAAATGTCTGAACTTGTCTGCCATCCAGTGGCTGACCGGTATACTGAAACATGAACACAATGTGTACAGGGTTACATAAACTCAAAAACACCTGAGTTCTCAGTTTTATCCATTTTAAGATAAAAACAAAAAAAACTGAATTCAGAAAAAGGAAACGCACCACAAGGACGGATACAATAACAAGTAAGGATACAAATCAGGGAGGAATGCTCGACATTTCTTTCTTTTTCCTGACTGTGCAGGAACCCAGGCACAAAGCCTGACTTTAACTTTAATAACGACTGGTTTACAGAGATTTAAACTGGAAACCACCTGACCCGGTCCTCACAAGTATAGAGAAGAGCGAGAGCTCACCTTCTCCATGCTCATCTTCTCAGGCATGACGATGATGCAGCGGTAACCTTTAACAGCAGCAGCCAGGGCCAGCCCGATACCTGGAGACACGTAGGAGGAGAATTAACAGCCCCGGCTGCTCTGACCCACTTCACAGGCCTATAAAAAGGCTTTTCCGGTCGGATACCTGTGTTTCCAGAGGTGGGCTCTATGATGGTATCTCCAGGTTTGAGGATGCCCGCTCTCTCTGCATCTTCAACCATCCGCAGGCTGATCCTGTCCTTCACGCTGCCTCCAGCGTTGAAGAACTCACACTTGGCCACTAAAAAAAAACAAACAAAAATCAACCCTTAACTTTCTTTTTTCATCCGATAGCAGTAATAAAACTGAGTAATTCTCCCATGTTTACAGATCTGAGCTGCCACAGGCTCTTCTCGTTTAGAGGATGTGCTTCAGCCTGAGCGGCGGATGACTCACGTATTTCGCATTTGACTCCAAACGCTTTGGGGATCTTGTTGATCCGTACCATGGGAGTGTCGCCAATCCGGTGCAGAATGTCTGGAAGGATGGTGGGGGAGGCGGACCTGGGGAGGCAGAAGGTAGAGGTATGAAGAAGCTGATTTAGGTTCCTCTGTAGGTGAGAAAACACATGTATCCACTTGTCTGGTTTATGCTAGTAAAAGTGAGTCATCCCTCGATGATCTAATCTCTTGCTTTGTGCAGACTCTCCTTGGGTCAACTGCCAGAAGAAAGACTGCTTCTCACTTTGAAAAATGTCCGTGGGGCGAGTCTGTCTTGGAGGCCTCCAGGCTCCACGTGCAGCGGCTGGGGAGGTCCGGCCGGATCCACTTCCTGTCTACGGCGGGGTTCTTTGTGTTGATCTGAATGGTTTTCCCGGAGTCTTCATTGGCCTCCGATTCGGTCCCGATGACGGGAATCGAGCCCTCGTGGAGCGGGGTGTCTCCGTTGGCGTGCAGCTTGGCAGAGTGAGGGCACACGGGGCCTTTGACGGCCTCCTTGGATGAGGGAACAGATGGCATTGCTCAACCTGAAGGGAAACGGGAAATGGCGGGTTACGCAAGTGTCAGATGCTTTATCTCACAGATAAAAATGCCAGTTGATAAGAAGCGCTAGTATGTCAACAAGAACAATTCAGAGAAAACACACAAATGCTTTCACGTATACAGCTTCTGAAATCTCTGAGGAACTAATTGGATTGCAAAGACCAACACTAGTAGCTAACTTGGAAAGATGCATTCCAAGTATGGAGTTAGATGCATGTATGCAGATTAGGAAAAAGACGAAAGAAAAAAAAAAAAAAACAGGCGAATGAAAACATCATTACAATATTTGCAAATATCATTGCTATTGCAAGATTTTCTAATATTGTCAGCCATAGTTTCCATAAACCTTTTCCAATAAATGAAGATAAAAAAAACACTTATGGAAACCTGGTTAATGGCAAACTATTATTATTTTACTCTCATTAGACATTCTTCTTCCAGTTAAAGGAAAGCTTCAGTCCAGTAATCCCACAAAATCACAAACATGAAGGACTGGTTGGTTGCGATGTTTGGTTGGGAAAAAAAAAAATCATAACACATGCATCCTTATGCTTAACACATACGGATGCATGTGTTATGCATCGACCCTGATATCCATATCAGGGTAGACTTATTGGCTCAGACTAAAAATAAAAAATAAATCTAAAGAACTTTCAGAGGCTAATCTGAAAGACCAAACCTTACAAATATGTACTGTCAAAGTATGAAATGAGAAAGAAACCAATGTTTTTTTCCCCCCCTTTGAGCCTCTAAATGCTCACTAAAAATTGCGTACAAGCCTACACAGAAAAATACAACATAACTTCCTCTAAACAATGCTGAGTCATATCATCTAGCTTTGGCACAGGTGTCGTTCCTCCTCCCCCAGTGACTCCTCTCACGTATTCATCCTGTCATTGTTACGAGCAAACACAACCATCACTGGCAGTGGCTCTACTTCGACTGGCGGCTGATGAGAAAACAGAAGTGAGACTGCGGGAAAGGCTGGCTGATCTTTCTTCAGCTACTGTTGCGTCAGACATTAAACCGAAGGAACGGGAACAGTAAAGTTTCCTAATCTTGTTAATAAGCTTTATGCTTTCCAAGGAAAAAGAGAGAGAGAAAAAATACCATAATCCAGATTTATCAGCACAAACCTGCAGAAATGTTTATGATCTCCCTCCAATCCTTTGTTTCTTTAATCTGAACCTGGAAATGACTCAGCAAATGTTGGCTAATAATACTGTAAATGTCAGAGTTACATAACTGACTAATGAATACGATCTTAATGTATTCATTAACTACATGAGTGTAGGTCACATGTTAATTATATAAAAAGAGGGATTTAACGGGTTAGCTCATTTTAACCAACAATAAAGTTTGCTGGATGATAACCTGTCCCAGTAATTGTTGCAATAAATGATAATATTGTTGTTTTGAGACCATTTTCAAGTAATATAATGATAATAGTATCATAATGCAAGTTCACTGTCTCAAAAACCAACAAACTTTTATTTTGTAAAGAACACTTAACACTGAAACTGGAAGGTATTTTAAATAAAACGGAGATTAAAAAAACACACAGAGCCAAATCCATAAATAAAATGGATTATGTTCTCAGTGTAAACAAAATTACCATTCAAAAAATATGAATCATTAGAATGGAAAGTATGGAGCTTATTACATCTGAATGGGATCCAAGCTAAAACAGCTTTAGACGAGCCGACACTAACTCATAGCACGTACATCAGAGGTCAGAGGTCAAAGCTGAGGCCCCTCTTTGACTCCAACGTGGGTTCAAATGATGTTCACACACCTAAACGGCTCCATCTTCTAAAGCAAACAAGGAGACAAAAACTCAGCAGCTCATGAATAAAAAATGTGCTGCATTTGGGTTATTCTGACCCAAATGGTTCCCCAGGTGTCAAAATGAAAGCTAATTATACACATGCTGGCTCCTCTTTCATGTCCACTGCTGCTAATTAAAGTGACGCCCAGCACAACCGCTGTGGTAAACGTGGCTAACAGCTTGTGGTATGCGGCGGCCTTCTTCGCAGGGTTCAACAAGGCAACCCGATCCCCCCCCCCCCCTGTGACCAGAAGCGAGGATTAACCAGAGAAACCCGTTCACCCGACAAAACCAAAAGATCACCTGCTCCGTCCGGCCAACATTAAACCCAATCCTGTGAGAAATCCCTCGCCAGACCCTTTTAATCAGATTAATATCTAATCACCTTCGGTATGTTCTCCTACAGAGTCTAGTTAAAGTGTGAAAATGACCGAAAATGGTGCCATTTTAAAAGATTAACTCTAAAACAAATAAGTTTTTCAAAAAATATTTAATGTATTTTTATTTACATAGCAGTTTAAAGAAGAAAAAAAAACATGTATGAAATAATTTTATTAAAAAAAAATTTGCTTACTGTCCACAATAATGTAACTTTTCTTTATTGAAGAACACTGAGAAAGAGCTAAGCCACTTTTATTATCCCGTTTTTGTTGGATAATTAATGCTCTCATCTAGTTTTAGTTTTCAAACGGTATTAGTTAGTTAGGGTGATGAATGGTGCCGTTTTAGCTTCCCCATCATGACTTTGCACATTTTTCATGACGAGAAATATTTCCAAACCCCCCGTATTTGTTTTTTTTTTTTTTTTGTAGGTGAGGAGAAAAATGACATTACTGTTTTATCAGCCAACTAACCAGAAGCTTGCAGCAACAAGTTGGGAGAGGGTGTGCTTCATTCAGCTATAATCAACTGAGATCACTCAGGTATTTTCAATAGCATCTTGTTGAAAGGGCTATAAAACACAGGATGGGGTTTATTATTATTATTATTTTTTTTTTAGCAGATTTGAAATTGCAGCTTTTTAAAACTACAATTAATACACAACCAATGCCTCGTAGCATACATGGAAGATGCATACGGTCTAGATAAAGTCCAAAAATTGAAGCAACCTGTTACATAGATAAGCCGATTTCTACTAATAAATGCACATAAAATTATTCTACAAAAGAAAATTAGGGTCAGTGTAAAAAATTATTGACCTCAAATTTTTTCACTTTATTAAAATTCTTTAAAAAAAATTACCCCCTTATTTTGAAAAGAGAAGAAAGTCAGAATTGACCTTAAAATTGCATTTTCCCCCCAACCAGAAACTTTAATCCTCTTCTGCATTAATAACTTCAGAGGCAGAAATAAATTTGCAATTTAAGGTTCGCCTTTACAAGACAGTTAACAGTCTTCATTCATTTCTTAACATCTTTTTCTGAGAATAGCAGACTCCACTGCTCAACTCCATGGTTTTTATTCAGCTGCAGTGTTTTTCCTTTAAAGTGTGAATCAGGTAAAAGCTCTGCCAGCAACTAAAGCACCAGCTGTTTAACAGATAAAGGAGCAGGGTTTGCATTTATCCCCTCGGCCACGACAAATGTGCACAGCAGGAATGCCAGCTTTAGAAACAATATGTAAATGTTAGGAAAAAATACCTCCCGAAAACCAAATCGAAATATTGTTGCTAAAATACAAGTGCATTTTCCAGAAAATGGGTTTCACTTTTTTAAACTTTCACTTTTAAAAAAAAATGTTAATGCTTTAGTATTGGATGGGTTTAAGCTGTAAAAGTTAGGCTTGTAGTTCTGAAATGGGATAAAACTATAAAAGCGAGGTCACGTCTGTGATGCGACACAAACAGAACATAAGATATTTTTAAAAGGTTAGTATTATTATAAAACGTTTTTATTGGACGTTTCAAGCTAATGTCAAAGCGATTTAATGCCATCACATACAATCGATGTTATACCATTTTCTCCAAATTTACCTCCGTTCTGAATAAAAAAAAAAAACACTTCCTGAACTTAAACGGGAAATAATATAACACATAAACATAAAAGCTCAGTGAGAGTTTAGACATTAATCAGCAAGAGTTCAGTAAACTGTTAGCATCCTACATTCGGTCGCATTCCACAGCAAATATCGGGGAGATATTGCATCAGCTCGCCCTCCACCGAGCCAATATCTGAAAACCACGTCTCCCAGCATCACTCTTACATCCTCAACGCTTTTTCTCCCGCTACCCGTCCGTGTTCGCTTACCTGGAGGTTCAAATGCAGCCAGAAACCGATGGAGAGGAAAAAATGAGCTTCAAGAGGGGAGGTGACTTCAGGATACAAGCGGCGGAATGAGAAGCTTCCGGGAGGTACAGCGATTTTGGAGCGGAATGCGCACGTGTAGCATACAGAGAGGACGCAAGTAAAGGTATAACTTGATTGGCTAAGACGGGGGCGTCTGTTTGGACTGCGTCGACCAATAGGAGAGGAGGTTTCTCGATCCAGGGTCTGGTTAAACTGGGTCGCCAAGTTGTCCGCACCACCTGTTTACCTTTTTGCTGACCAAACACAAAGCCCTCGTACGTTAGTGCCATGTGTCATGTTGACTTCTCATGAGCTTTGCCTTTGATATAAAAAATGTTGAGTGGACACAAAAAAAAAAAAAAAAAATTGAATTATTTTTACTTTTAAAATAATTTATGCGCTTAAGTGCAAGTACAAGTGATATCCTTGTCAAAAATTCAAGGATGAAAATTAAAATAACTACACAAAAGGATACATTTAAGACATGTTGCTACATGATTATGACTCAGTCAGGAAATAAAAGGCAAGTAAAAGTTCCCATGTATCACTTTTACATGGTACATTAAGATCATTTTGGCTAAGATTAGTTTTTCATGAAGATTTTAACAGTTGGCTACTATTATCAGTTATTTGTGCAAATTTATGCATGAAAGGTTTTCCTTCCATTAATAACATTAGTTATAGCATTCTGAATAGTAAGCTTAAGTAGTTTACATCTGTGACTTAATCGACAACTCTGGGAAAACCTTTTTTTTTCCACACCTAAACCATCTCCACATTTTTCCAGATTGTGTAGGAATCCTAATGTCCATCATGAACTTACTGGAAGTGGGTCCAAAAATTCTCATTGGTGTTTCATGCAACTTTGTGCCAGCACCTCTGAATTGCATAAAACCTGGTTTAACTCACTGATATTCGCTTGTATTGCCAACTTTAGTTAGTCTGGTTAGGAACCAAAACCATTATAAAGTCCCACTGGTGTCTCAATTTGAAAGCTGATTTAATTATTTTCTGTAGGCTATTATAGAAACACGAAGACTCCCAAAAGTATCTAGCTAAATGGCAAAAAGCACACACACACAAAAAAAAAAACTATTAAAGCTTCTATCAGATAAGGAAACATTTTGCAAACACACACACAAAAAAAAAAAGCATCAATGATCCAATTCTTGTGGAGAGAATTTATGGACGGACATTCTGGCGGTGCAGTTGCAAATCTGTTTTTATTGAGAAAGCGACACGAGCTTGTCTTTTAAAAAAAGTGAGTAAAAGAAAAATAACAGTTTCAACAATTCACCGAAACAAAAAGAAAAACAAAAACAAAACATTGCTGGGGTTAGGAAGTAGGGGATTGAATGCATCAGTCTCGGCCTCTTTCAGAACCTCCCGGACCGCTCCCGGTCCCTGGACTTCCGCCTCTCGCGATCACCCCGCCGTCGATCCTTGGAGCGGGAGCGCCGTTCTCGGGAGCGGGAACGAGAGCGGTGCCTGTTGGACAACAAACACCTTAATTACAAACAAACAGTGACTCGAGAGAGAGAGAGAATATTTGTTTCCACTGAGCAGTAATTACTTTTTCCTGCGGCGGCCGTAGAGCTCCCTACGGAGTTCCCGTGAGATGGGCTTGAGATGCATGAAGTTGCAGAATCCTCCTCGGGTACATTCCCTGTAGGAAATCGGGAGATGAGGGGTTAAAACCTCTGGCCTTGCTGCAGATGGAGCCCTGCCATAAAAAGCTGGCTCTACGTTGCACATGCCAAGGAGCACGGCAGCAGAAAAAGTTGAAACTTTTATCTGTTGCATGGGGAACAAACCAGAATCAAATGGAAAAACCTTGAAGGGCGCACAGCTTATCTTGGTTCTGAATAAAAAGTTAGTTAACACAAACCCAATGCAGCTGGGACGGCTTCAGACTTTCAAAAGGAAAACCTTGTGACTCTGCTTTGGTTCCGTCAGAAGCAACCTTTAAAAGCCTTTCGGATTTAAAGGCAGGACAATCTGGCCAGCGAGTAATCCAACCTCGGATGAGGAGAGAACAGTGAAGCTCTGTCACGGTCTGAGCAAAGACAGAACCTTCTTTCTTCACGCAGCGCAACACACAGAACAATAACCTGCTTCACTACTACAGTGAAGAGGTTGGATTAAAATCAATGAATCCGATCTTAATTGTTTCAGTCCTAGTATTGGTAAAGAGAGTAGAAACAAAGGTAAATAAATGTCATCTATAAAGAGGCATGTTCCAGGGTTTATTCAGTAAACTGAATAAAATAAAGTAGTTCTGTTTTCGGTACTCATGGACAGTTTGTTACCTTTCATAGTTCAGGACAAATCTATGCGCAAATATCAGTGCATGTGACTGAAAGATAACATTTCACATTGTATGGTTAAGCATAATAAAAAACTAAAATGTATCAAAAGATAAAAATAGTTTAAGAAAAACTAATTGTCATCTAACAACAACTCCAGCAAGCGCTGATGGAAAACCTTCACCTGATCTTCTGCCACCTTGTGGTAGCAGCTATACATTACAGACAGTTACAAATACTATACTACAACTACTACTGCTGCTGCTTTGTGCCTTTGCATAAAGGACTGATGCGAGAGTGAGAGAAAACAGATTTAAGTCTAATCCTAAACTCAATGCCTTTATATAATGATTACAACAATCATTTGCTCAAAGCAGATTGCTCCAATATCTGCAGAAAAAGTTACCATGGTGTGTTTATGATGATGGTTTCTCCACTTCCAAACAAAAACAAAAGTTTTAGGATATAATCGCATCAAATCGAAGGTGGAGGACAGAAGAAGGAAAACAACTCAGCACTGATCAACAAGCTAACAGACGTCTAACAAGAAGCATTTCATTCTTCTCATAACCAAAAATGTTTCTGGATGCATAAAGCTGCTTAGTTGGTCTTCAACAGGTGTGTGACCAACAGCAGGCATTGACAAACTGAGACTCACCCCATTTCGTACTGGCGGCAGCAGGCTTCTCTGAAGTCGGTAACCGGGGACAGCTCTGCGTGGATGGGCTGGGCGTTGAACCACCGGTTGTTCAGGTCCATGACCGCTTTCTCTGCGTCCTCCTCACGACGAAACTACACACCACGGACACAGAGTTAGACCTTCATTTTTGCAGAAACCAGATGTGTACACACACTGAATGCATTCCTCACACTCTGAGATTAAGTCAAACTAAACTTTCTATTTAAATCTGGCCAACTTGACGGCTTATTAGATGTTCAGGTGTACATGACCCACCTTCACATAGACATTGCCGACAAGGTGGTCACCGAGGTTATCACAGACATTCATCTCCTCCACCTCTCCATACTTCTCCTCCATCTCTGTGAACACCTCCTAAATTGAAAAAATGAGGGGGAGAAATGAATGAATTGATCCATAATTTTGCCATTTCTCAACATGAAGTAGTTACCAAAACTTTGCACTATTAGGAAAGTTTCGAGCGTTGCACAATTCCTATGAACAAAACCCCAAAATCCGCCTAAAAAGGCCCCATTTTGGCCGCTCTTTTGGCTCCCCTGAGGCAGATAAGGAGGCGGTGACGTCACAACGGGCCGCTGCCGGGCCGGCCGGTCACTCACCTCAAAGAACTCGTCGTAATGTTCCTGCATTTCCACATCGCTCACGGCACCTGCGAAACGGCAACGACAGACGGTGAAGGACGAGCTGGACGGACGTTAAGCGTCAGGAGACTTCAAAAAAAGTAAACCACACGGCGCTTTGAAGAAGTATTCACACCCGACAAACCCTTTGGGCTTCGTTACGTTACAACCGCACGAAAGTATCCCAAATGTCAAAAGGTTTGTGGTTGGAATGTGGCAAACTGGGGGTGTAAATACCTTCTCAAAACACTGTAGGAACATTTGGAAATAGGGATGGTATATAAATTTGAAGCTAAATGTCACAGAAGCAGTCAAAACAGAGTTTCTCCCTCCCATTTTTCAGCTTGTTTGGTGTTTAACTTTAAACTGACTTCAGCCAAACTCTGACCTTTTTTTTTTTCCTTTCTTGTTGCTGAACTATTTGCATAACTGTGTCATAACACAGACACACTGATAACACTTTCTTCATGACAAGCAGGCCGAGGAAACATGCAAAACAGCATGAGGCCCGTGCATCTAGCCTTAAAGACACATCTCTCACTTCTACACTGTGCCAGTTTGGTTCGGGGAGGAGTAATAAAATGAATTCAGTGCAGTCGGTGCTGGAGGGTCCTGTGGATAAAGATAGAACTTACAGTGGAAACCATCAGCGGACTGGGCAGTTTTGAAGGTTATGAAGGTAAATGTTCAAGAGGGAAATGGTCTGAAATACAAAACATAAGCTTCTGTGATAAAAATCCAACCAAATACGAAGCTGGGGAGGGAAAAGAACGTTATTAGATATGTTTCGCTAAAACGGCTGCGAGCGATTGGTCGAGAGAGGAAGCTGCATTTAACAAGAGCATTTAGCAAATGCTTTCCTGATATTTAGCATTTATGTCTGAAGCAACATTTTAAACATACAGATTGTCTCACTGAGAAAAACCAGTTAAGCAACCAGAATGACTGGCCTGACTGGGACAGAACCAGGCACAAAAGGCTCACCAGTGACCAGTGTTGAGAGAGCAGAGAAAGACCAGAACATCTGGAATGATGTTCTTCGGAAAGATGGGATTAAAGTCATTAGGACGCAAGAAAAGAGGACATGCTTGAAAAGAAAAGAACCTCACAGCAGCTATAAAGCACGGAAGTGGAAGTGTCATGGTTTGGGAAAGATCATAGAACCCATCAAGCATTCTATCATGTATCAGAGGTTGTTTTTATTGTTATTATTATTATTAGACTAGCAGTAAAAAACATGAAGGTGAACTCCAAAGATGGGCTGAAGTTAAGAAATAGAAAGCTCTGGCCTAGTCAAAGTCCAGATTTAATAGGAGAAGCTTTAAGATAACATAAGATGATGCAAGAAACATCTCAAACATTAAAGTGAGAAGGGGAGCCATCCTCCTCAGAGCGATGCTACAGACCGGTGGATGGATAGCAGGAGTTAGTTTAACTACGCCGGGTGAAGAATGCACTCACTCTTTCCTCAGCGAGAAAAATAGTAGTTAAATTAAAATATTTACTATATTTCTTGCAGTATTTCCTCAAATACGCATCTGAAGAAAATTGAAGGTTTTGAGCAGCAGACTTTTAGTCAATAAAGTGTCTTATCTTTATCGCACGACTGCGGCTTTAAGTTTTGCTGCTTGTGTTCAGGCCTGAGGGGGGACAGACGTTTCCAGGGCTGGGAACGGCGGCGGGTTCCTCCTGCTGACTACGCTGGGATCCAACAACAAACTCCAACTCTCACAGTAAAGTCACACTTACTGGTTGTTTAACAGTTTCCCTCAGTAACTGTATGTTTAAAAAAAAAAAAAAAAAAAAACTAAAATGGGGAGGCAACATTTTTTAAAACTTTATTTTTCAGTTAGTTGGTGGCTACTTTCAATAATCAAGAGTTTTCTTTTGATATCTTTTACCCTTTAAAACACAAAAACAATGTATTTGCCACTAATTGGTGAGGAATTTTACCTAAATGCAGACAGTACTTTGGTATTATTCAGAACATTTACTATTTCCACTCACCTCAAGATTGATTATTAGGGCTGATTTATTTTCATATAAATATTTAACACCTACCTGTATGAGGCGGTCTGTTTCTGTTTACGGCACACAGTCCCACCTCATGTTTCTACGTATTCCAAGCTAATCAGCTCTACCTGGAAGTGCTGTTTGCTTTTATACCCTAGTTGACATTTGTTCATATCTCTGAGTCACACGAAGTCTTACAGATACATACTTGTCTACTTTAAGCCACTGAATGAAGACTGAGTGTTTGGTTAGGGGTTAGCTAGCTAACAGGACAAGAGAAGAACCTCTGAAGTGTTTTTGGAAAAACGTGTCTGACTTACAGCGAGAGGCGTCGGCAGTCTGAGCGCTGTTCTGAGGATTACGGTAGATGTTCTGGATCAAGATGGTCTACACAGCAGACAAACGACAATAAATCTGGTGAAACTGGACTAATAGCTTTCGAGTGTTGCACTTTCTTGAGATTCAAAAGACAGAACATTTCAAAACAGAAGTGTACGTAGGCTTATTCTGTCACTGTCTTAAGTTGAATTAGAGCTAATTTCTCTTGATTTAGGTCTGTTAGAATTACCAAAATTATTTTTATTTGCCAAATGTCACAATAACAAAATTCTGTATGTAAACTTCTGATTTTGAAAACATTCGTTAATAAGTCTCAGACATATTCTCTCATTCTTGTGACATTTAACTGACTGAAAACAAGAAGTTTAGTCTGATTTAATCTCAGGAAGAGAGAAAAAAGTGTTTGTGTCTTTTTATTCCGTGTATGTAAACTTCTGGTTTGGATGAGGCACACGGGAAATTGTAGCTGGACAGCTGTAGTTCAGGAAGCTGTTGACCGATTGGTAGTTTTAGAGCTATAAAATCATTTGGAAGGCAGAAACTTACCTGGCTGAAGGTTGGTTTATTGTGCAATCTTGAGCATCGGTCTCCATGTCTGCAGGCTCCAATTTTGAAATAGAAAGAACAATTTACCCTGGAAGGGAAGTTAACATTATTTGTTTATCATCGACTCGGGAACCGCTGCTAATTTGTTAAGCAAAAGTAACATAATGAAAAATTAAAATATTATGTCTTAAGGTTATCACATGCACAGACTGATCTGTGTAAAGGTTTTGCTACATTTGGCTTTGCTGAGCCATGTGTGACTCCTGTGTCTCCTTTCTCTAATCAGTAACCAACTAGAATAATAAGCATACATACAGTAACTTCAGCAACAAGTTGTCCTGGGTGACAGAAGATACCACAAAAAATCACATCTAACTCACACAATGAGTGTAACATGTTGAAATGTAATGTTATCATTGGAGTAATAATAATAATTAACATCTAAAAAGAAGAATATATATTTACGTTTTGGGAGACAAAATGCTGCTTCTTCTCCACACTGTTAGATAAACGAATGCACCTTTCTTAGCCTTACACCTTACCTTCAAGTGACTAAACAGTGTCTCTATGTGTATGCAGTTCTTGATAACTTTAAATAATTTGATCTCAATAAAAAATGAAAAAGCAGCTTATATTTGTACCCCAGTGCTCTCCAAATCAATACAACCAAATAATCTGCTCTGACCTGCTAACTAGCAAGCTAAGGGTTACTGGGTTTTATTTAACTGTGCTGTAGGCTTCAAGTGCAGGTAAACAAACAATAAAAGCAGCGAAAATTCTATAAATGTGTTAATTCCTTAATATTTTGTCATAAACCAACAGGAAACAGAAGATTTATGTTCTGACTACATGAGTTTCATTCAATGCGGTAGCTCTCTGTTAGCTTCCCCTCGCTAACGATAGCTTCAGCGGGAGTTCCAGCGAAGCTAAATGACCTAAATAACTTGCTAGTAATGAAAAATAAATCTGTAGCAAAAAGACTTTGCATAAAAGTCTCAGTTATTGCGTCAATCTTGACCAACATTGAATAAAACTTACTTGTCTTTCTCTGTGCCGAAGATGGACGCCAGATACTCCGCCATTTTCGCCCCGTCTAAGACGTTGTGGAATGCGTCATCACGCAAAACGAGGGACGCCTGCGCTCAAACGCTGTGGAGGTTACCATGACAACATGTACATTAGCTTTAATGACCGCTTAGGGGCGCTGTTTCCCCAATAAGGGCTCTAAAAACACCTTAACACGCACTTTTTTCATTGTATGCCTATAAATTTGAATATTTTAATTAATCTCCAGAGATTTTTCTTCTTCCAAAAACTTAATTACTCTTAAGACTCGCCTTTTCCCCCTCCTTATATTAAAAGTACATGTTCAGAGTCTTGGATATACAGAAGAGAGGGGAAAACCAGAAAATGAGTACATTTTTATTTCAAATGAAAACTGTAGAACCTTACATTAAAAAAAGTAAAATTAATAACAACCAAAAATATGATGCATAAAACCCCAAAAATAATAATATGGGGAAAAAAACAGCTGACAGCTGACTATTCACTTTGGTCTATCTTGTTTGCATCTACTTGGCAATTATGAAATTAATCTAAAAATCATATGCTAAAAACATCACTAAATAATCAAGTCTAGTTTTTTGTTCTTATAATATCAAACCAACACAAAATAGTTCTTCAAAATCTCATTATTGCTGATTCACAAGGAGATAAGTGTTCATGTGGTGACAGTGTTGACCCAATAAAAGCCACCAAAAAACCATCAACACAGTGGGCATTGAGGCAATTAAAGAGGCTGTGGGGTCCCCATCTGCTCATCAGAACACCTTACAACCTCCACCGAAACCACAGGCGCTCTGCAAGAGGTCGCGCAGCGCTGCAGGAGATGCACATGGCGGAGATTAAAGAAGAGGAGAAAGGAGAGGAAGTCAGCTTGAAGATAGCAAACCACAGAGACAGTCAAGAAGTTATGAAGGCGGCGTCAAGGTGCACAGACTGAAAGACGCCTCGGAAACGACAGCAAGGTCTGTGAGAACGATGAAGATTTTGGCTCAGTTCGAGATGTCTGCCGCAGCTGGATGAGAAGGGGAAGCCCTGGCCTGAGACGCCTCGCTGAGTCGGACCTGCAGAAATTGCAGAAGTGAGACCACTCACCGCCTGATTCTCACCTCAAAAACTATATTCCTGTCTACTTTCGAGGGGAAGAAGTACTGTACGTTACAGGGCGTGTGTATGTGCGGCAGCCAAAGAGGAAGCAGCTCTGGCTGTTTTGATTAACAAATTAATGATGTTTTCGGAGGAAGATTTCTCAGTTGAGCTTGATGTGACCGGATAGTAACGAGCGAAGAGATCATGAGGCTTGAGCACCATTGGATTGTCCTGATTTGGTCCATTTGGACCGTCCAGTTCCTCACCACTGAGGCTGACGGTAAGTGAACATGTTTCCTTAGCTTTTGTAACCACAGAGACCAAGCGGATGGTTTTTGTGTAGACAAATCCAGAGGGCAGAGGTCACAGCGAGATCTGACCATCAGTGAAAATAACTGACATGTCACACCTGGAGGTCAGATTAAATAAACTCAAAGCTCCTGATGATTTTGAGGGACCGTTAGCAAACATCGATTGTATATTTTGTAGAAATGTCGGTTCTCTTGGTAAATGTGAAACTCTTATTTCATTTTAGATTTTGAAAAATTATTTTCTTTCGTTTTGCTTCAACGGTACATGTGATCAGGACACCATGGAAGAGTTTAAAAATCACAATAGCAAATTGAGTTAAAGAGGAAAAAAACAAACAACATAATTTAGATGTTCCATTTTTTACTCACCAATCAATCAAGTTTATTTTTATGGCACAAGGCAGTTCAAAGTGCCATACATCTTGAAAACATAAAAAAAAAAAAAACATCATCAAAAGTTGTAAAAATAAAGTGCCATTGTTAAAATAATCAATACACATCAAATACGTTGGTCAAAGTTCAATTTAGAGATGCTTTAAGGTTCAAAAACAACTGGAATGCTGACCAATAGAAACAAAACTAAAACTACAATAACGTAGCAACCATATTTCAATAATATGCTGTCAGACCGCTGTATTGTAATGGTTAGACAAGCAAAATTTTTAATGAAACGTTGCTATTTGACTGAAAGCCTATTTTCCCCAGGTTGTGATGTTATTTGTGGAAACATAATTTATTGGCTGAAACTGTATCTTTTTTCTTCATTTAAAAGTCGCATCATGTTTTCTGAAATGTTCCGACATATCAATAGCACAAAGAATTTTCTATTTTAACATTTTGATTTTCTCATTTCCAATCAATAGTTTGAATATTTAGAAACAAAACAACATATTTTTACAGAAATGTTGCATTTTCAGAAACAGCTGGATAGAATAAAATCATAACTAAGTGTAGTGGTTGATAGAGTTTGAGAAAAAAAAAAGAAGTGGAGGAAGAGTTGCTCATTTCCAGTCAGGTCAAACTTTAAAAAATAGTCTATGAAACAAAGAAATTTTTTATGAGAATTAAAAAAAAACTATCTTGAGATTTAATAAAGATGCAAAAAAGTACCATAAGAATGTTAATGCTTAAAATTTGTCAACATATAGCTGCCAGTTGTTGGATCAACAGAAGAGAAACTGTTTATTATACAAGAGGCTGAAGTCTTTATGTAAAACAACATCACTCTCCACTAACTATTTGAGCAACTGGTTAAAAAAAGAACTAGTTTATATTAACTGTGCTTCAAAGAAACAGAGAGACATACCTGTAAGTGTGTAAAAATTGACATGAGGTTGAATGACGAAAAAAGGAGAAGAGATAAAACCTTTTTAGAGTGCACTTTAGAGAGCCTGTTAACGCTCATACTTGTTAAATTGATTACTTGATTAGACAGAAGTCAGTTTTAGATTGAACAGAAACCAAACAGTTCTTCTACTTTAGCAAAAGGATGTTCCTGATTTACGTGGGCATTTTGCGAGAAGTTCATTCAAAGCTTACGGATAATTAGACACAGAAAACATCAATTTATTTATTATCTTATGTCTAATGTCTTCTCTTCCTTTAGATGACGAATGCACACCAGAACTACAAGTTCGTCGCAACACGACTTATAAAGCGAATCTTGGAGAAGAACTCAGGATTGAATGTCCAGTTATGTTCTGCAACAATTTACCACCAACAATCTGCTGGTATAAAGTTGAGAAAGAAAATATTTGTCTCAATGACAACAATACCAATCACATCAAGACAGAATGGAAAACATCAAATCTGTCAAAAGGGATATTCTACTTGTTGTTTCAAAGCATCGTCATCAGTGACTCAGGTGAATATCAATGTAAAGGTGGAGGCACTAGGAGTCATATCATCTACATCAATGTTTATGGTGAGTGATTTTTCAATTATATAGTTTATTTATATAGTTTATAGCCAGCTTTACATTTGTATACATACATGTATATTCCCTTATTTACAAGATTATAACTCTGGTTCTACAGATATGGGCACAAACGACACACATAAACCAGTAACCAATGACACAAGTAAGAAAAAGTTGATATCTGTATCCTGATTTTGTACATATGCATTGCTATTTCATGCTTGTTTAATTTTATTTTTAACTGTAAACAAACCATTGTTTATAGAAATGCACATTTTAATAGATTAGGAATAGATATAAATGGCCATATCTTATAGACAATTTAGTTCACTTGTGAGATATCTTCATAAACTTTGTATTTTACTATTTAGTTCTGACTTCTGTTAGGGCAATTTAAGTCTCATAAAATATGAGACCACTGATCAAAACACATTAACTGTTGGACTCAGGCTTACAATGGACTAATATGAACTATATGTCACCTATCTAACAGAAAGTACTAGTTATTAAAGTGAGTAGGAAATGTCTCCCTGACAGTTATGATAGGCTCTAAATGTCTCATGGCAGAAGGAGCCAGACCAGAATTGTCAAAAAAAGGAAAGGACTGAAAAGACCAGCATCTGGATTTGAAAAATACACTTTTTAAGTTGGATAATTTATCATTATTTTTTGTTTAATCATGTTCTTTTTTGTCTTCTTGCAGACGACCAATCCGAAACTGAACCAGCAGACAGATTTTTGTTGTATATGTACTCTGCTGCTGGGATTGGTTCCTTTGTCATCATAGTGATTATTATTTCTGTGATATGCATGCAAGGGTGTAAAGGTGAGACTTCTTTACTAATTTTATTAACATCAATTGCTATGTGAAATACTCAGTCACTGCCACTACATTTAACAAACTGTTTATCCTGCAGGGAAGTCAAGGAAAGAGAAACAAAAAGAAAATCAGGTAAGTTATCCTTACCTGAGTATGACCTCTTCACTCAATGTTTATGCCTTTAAAATTTGACTTTAGTTTAAAGTTTTCTTTCTCCTTTTTTATTCCTAAAGTACATGGAGATGCCCTTGGGTGAGCGAATCATCCCAAACGCCATTGGGATCCAGCACTCACCAAGAGGAAGCCCCAACCCGCTGCCACCTCGCAGGCCCAGCGGGAGAAAAACCACAGGACAACCTGCAGAGCCGACGCCATCGAGAGACAACCAGCCGCCTCACGGCCAGAGGACACGAGACAGAAACAGGAATGGGGCGCAGGCGGAGGAAGCAGGTTCTGTTGTGTATGCTGCTCTCAACCATGCACCCCCACAGAGGGAGGCTCCCCGGCCACAGTGGCAGATAGAGGAGACAGAGTATGCAGCTATACGTTTGGTTTGAAGACTGAGAGTCTGCTGGAATAAATCACACTAGAGGAACGAAGTTTGAATCTGGATCTTCCTCTCCAGAGGAGCACAGGAGGGATTCCTCACAGCAAGGATTCTGGAATCAGACAACTCAAATCATGACTTCCTTTACCTTTTGGAAACACTGCTCTTACAACAGAACATGCTGACGAATTTGCTCAAGCATGATTCGTCATCGGCATCACAAACTGGATGTGTGGTTTCTACTGTTCTGTTTGGGATGGAAAATGTTCCAGCTGAAATCAAGAACCTCAGCGTCACTGCAGGTGGTAGCCTACGGAGTGAAAAGCACGTTTCACATCCTTCATATAAAACCAAACTGAAATGAACCATGTATCTTTTTTTTATGATTGTTTACCAAAAGGAATTCAACATTTGTCTCATTTTCTTCAGTCTGCACTTTGTTTAAAGACCCTTTTTCTGCACTTGGTGCTTTACAAGAAGTACACCACAATGGCTAAATGAGATGCATAAGTAGGTTATCCCACCGGTTCAGGCGCAAGAACACTGATACAGAAATCAGTCAGCGTTTCCTCACCAACTCAGTCCACAGAAAATGTCTGAACAACCACAGTAGAGTTGCTGGCGCTAGCAAACCTAAACCGCTTAGCTAAATACACGCTAGCTAGTTGGCACCACAGCATAATAAAGAGCTAAAAGAGACTAAAACCTTATTTTGTAATCATGTCTAATTTGCTTTAAGACAATTTTATTATCTTTTTGTCTTCCTCCATCAGTGGCTTGAGACCTAAAAAGGTACGCTATTCTCTGTCGTTAGCGTGTTGCAAACACAAAGCTAAAAGACACCAAACACCAAAAAGTTACCACATTGTTATTTGTGTTTCAAGAACAGCCATAGGTCGTCATATTTTACTTCCTTAAACTGGAAATGTTGAGTCACACGTGAGCTACAAGACACGTTTCGGAAATAATTGATATTCAGCAGCTAGCTTGAATGAGAACTAGAAAAAACAGTGATTTGACTAATTATATCAGGCAGGTAGATAAAAGAAAAGATAAAAATGTGAAAATATCTGAGCCCCTTTATGCAATAAGGCATAAATGTGATATATTCACATTCAAATTCAAAAATTTCTTATTGATCCCAAAGGGAAATTAAATTAAATATGTTAATGCATTAGGTGCTGGTCAATTCAAACTTTTGCATTAATTACTTTTGCAGGTAATTTTGTTCAGGTTTAAAAGGATCTGTCTACCACAGGATTATGTTATTTCAATCAATAATCTAATACTACAGCGTAAACTCAAAATTATCCGTACAATATCATATACAATATCATCTACAATTTATAAAAACGCTTAGTGAATTAAACTGATACACACTGGTAAAGTACATGGGTGCAAAATTGTGGAAATAGGCAGGAATACAATGTAAATTAAACACATAGATTGGCAAAACGGTGAGTTGATCTGGAAACTTCTTAACTGGCAAAATTATAAATAAAATGAGGTTTATTTTATATTAACATTGTAATAGTCAGTTTACAAAAGTTCCGACAGAAACATCAAACTCGTATTTTCGTCTTCAATGAATGTATGTTTTTCTTGCTCTGCTACGAGGTACAAGTACAGGCGTTATATGGATTCTCTCCTCAGATATGAAACTTTGTTTTTTGTGTGACAATCAAACAGTGACTCAGATCTTTGACAATAAAGAATGCAATTACAAACTGAGCCTGTAAACTATAATGTGTGATGTAAACAGGGGAAGCAAACAAAACTGTTGTTGTTCTTTTGAATGTTTTGCACGTATTCGAGTAATAACTGATTTTATTGCATGTGCATGACTTGAAATCACTGTTTGGAACAATTTCAGTCATTTCTGGTACTGTAGCCTCGGACGATATCAGATGAGTCATTTTTTGGCTTTCACTGTGACTGAACATTTTATTCTGATTACTGATTGTGATTCCTTGAAAAGGTAGAATGTAATCCAAATCACTGTGTGCAATGAAATAATGCTTATCTAAAAACAAAAAATCTGGATTTAATTTTGTGGATTTGACTCTTTTTTTTGTGGTAATTATGAGTATTTCCCTAAAAAAAAATCCCCAACACAGATTAACTGAAGTTAAACGTGTGGAGAAAAAAGAGGTCTCTTCCTGTAATGACATCAAAGCTGGTAGATTCACATTTACTGGAGGAACTGAGCAGAAACCGTCTACCCAAAGACCCCCGTAATCAAAAACAGGAAGTAAAGCCAACCACATGCGACTTTCTGTAAAATTCAGAACGCAGCCAGGCTTTACTGAAGGGGATCATTTCTCAGGTGCCCGACATGAAACTTTTCAGCTATAAAGTCCTTTTTTATGTTTTGATCCTAGTGGTACTCGGAGGCACTCAGGATGACAACAGTAAGTTATTATTACTACAGAAATCTGTCTGGATGTTACTTTTTTAAATATATATTACAAAAACATTCATTTTGACTTTCTCTGTGTAAATATTTGAGAAAAGTAGACATCAAGAAAGAACAACTTGTACCTTAAAATATTACAGAGAAAGATTTTCATACCGCCATACTTATATATTGTATAATATACAGACATATTTCAGGCTACGTAGCAGTTTTTAGTTTGTATTTTCCATTTTTGTTTACTTTTTCTTCCTTAATTTGCATAAAATGAGAAATATCATGAAAAATAAAGGGCAAAAGCAAATGGAAATCTGCTTTTCTGACTTTCTGAAGCAAAACGAATGTGAAAAGCACCAAAAATTGCTCAACTTAAAGAATCAGTTCAGCCTGGAAATTCCTAAATATTAAATGTTTCCAACTTTATTAATATTGCTAACACTTAATATTCTAGTTACGCTAATTTTAAGCCGTTTAATTCATGTTTTAAGTGGCAAAAACTTGAAACCACAGGATGCGCTGTGGGTTTCTACAGCGTGTTTGACCTCAATTTGGTGGACACAGCTGCTGCATCGCAGGCGCCTACATCTGTTTCAGATACCTCACTGTTAATACTGTGGTTGAAGAAGCAGCCGGTCATGTGTAATCTTTTATGATTTGACCTTTTCCTGAAAACTTCAAAACAAAAATAAAAGCGCAACCAATAACTAGAGACTTTTGTTAAAGTAACAGAAGTCAAAACTTCTCATCTCTTGACATTTTTGCTCATTCTTCCCAAAATACTTTGAGGGGGGTCAGGTTGAACGGAGAACATCTGTAAACATGAAGTCTTAACAAAAATTTTCGATTGACTTTATGTCTGGGCTTTGACTGTGCCATTCTAAGTCATGAATGTGTTTGGAGCTGGTCCAGCTCTACTTTTCAGCTTCTATAGCAGTTTTTTCTCCAGGGCTGACCTGTATGTGGCTCCATCAACCTTCCAATCAAACCTAATCAGTTTCCCTGATGATGTTTAAGAGGGACATCCCACAGCCTGATGCTGCTCCTACCAAATGAATGATGTGTAGTGTAAGGTTTCCTTTCAAATTCAGTGTAGGTTTTGTCTATCATGTGGAAATGGGACTTTTTTTGTTTTACCTCAGGGTATCAGGTTACAGAGAGCTAAACAAGAATGCGCGCCACACTTTTCAGACTGAAACACATCTGAACACATGCAGTGTTTTCCTTCCTTCTTAAAATTGTTTACTTTCTTCTCTTTTCTTGCAGAGAAGCTGACCAATCTGGACATGTTCAAACATTTCATGTTCCGCATTATGGTCATTAAGATTTTTGTCACCATTGTCTTACTTACATACTTCCTGAAATCCCGTCCTGTGATCACAGGTAGGAGTCTAGATCTAAAAATACAGGTGGCTGATTACCATGATCTGAGAGCTGTAATTCATTGAACTTTGTATCCGTTCTGCAGAAAAAGGCCAGAGAAGTGAGGATTATGGTTCTTCCCATCACATCTATGAAAATGAACTGAGTAGAACTGAACTGAACTCGTAGAGCTTTTATAGAACAACTGCTTGCTTTTGTGTTCTTGAACTACTGTAAGGCAAACTGCAAAGATGTGAAAGTGAAAGTGTGAGGCAGCTTTTGTTTACGATACAAAGAATAGTGAGACAGAGGACAGGTAATAGTCATGTTTCCTGTACAGGTAACACATCTGCACACATCCTGTATAAAGTTTACGTTCAAGAGGGACTGTCTAGACTACAGAGTACTGTGTTCTCATCTTCCTGTCTTTTATTTATTTATGATTAAATAAGCTTCTCTTCTTAGGTAAATGTATGTTTTGAAAGGAGACTAACTTCACCCGTCATAACTGTTTTTATTGTACCCAAAGTATTAGTTGTACATTCTGAAAACTTTGAAATAGACAGCCATATTGTGACTTATCATTTGTATTTGTGTTTCACAAAGACTTATTCACGATTAGAGTCTCAGATTGACATAATCTGTTTGTTTTTAATGAATAAATTTGATTAATCTTATATATAAGTCTGCTGTGTTTGTGTAATTTCTCTGACATTTAGTGACTTGCAGTGTTTGCAGAGAAATTGCATCTAAATGACTTCATTGTAGAAAGGAGTCAGTCAGGGGAAGAGCACAAAAAACTCCACTGCAATATGTACAAAATATATCATTAGCAAGCAGTATTTTGACCATAAAAACTGACATAAAACAGGAACATTTTAGTTTGATTTGCTGTAGCATCGTGTATGTACATTTCTGGTTTTAACTGTTCGCCGCACTAACGGTGGAAAAAGTTATGAACATAACGGTTTCATTCTTTATGTCACAAAAGCCTGAACTTTAACTAGCTTTAAATTTTTCTTTTATATCCACAGCTGAAATTGTATGAACTTGAATTTAAAACATTGGTTTTCTTTGGTTCTTTTTTCTAGTAGTACAATGAGCAATGGTGGAAACAAATGTTTCTTCTTGTATCGACTTCATCAAAACTATTAGCATTTGCAGGAGGGTCTACAGAACCCCCATAATCGCAAACAGGAAGTAAATCAACCGCCTCTGTTGTGGTGTTAAACTCAGTACATACAGAAGCTGAACAGAAGTGGACGCTTCATCAAACTACCAACATGATGTCTTACAGCTTTAAAATCTTTTTTTATGCCTGTCATGTCCACTAAGCGGTGCTGTGAGTGTGTTGTCTCCTACCCTCTCTCCTGCAGGGCGTGTCGGACAGGAGCGGCCAGCTGGAGCTCATCTATCCATCAGGAGGAGCAGTTAAATAGAAGCCGGATCCTGATAGCGCTGCCAGATGGTTCTACGCTTCCAGTGAGTCCTCGGTCCTAAGTAATCCTCGTCCCTGGTCTGTAAGAGGGTCTGGTTTGGCTTCTCGTCCAGCTCCACGCGGCTCCTGCTCACAGCCGTTCCCTGTCTCCTGCCTGGCTCCGCTTCCTGTCCTTCCGCCTTCGTTGCTGGACCACCCCGCTCTACGCGCTCGCCTGCCTGTCCACCCATCTACCCCCAGTGGATGCTCCGGCTCTCCCTCCCGGGACCCCCCCACCGCCTCCTACAAGCAAACCCCCAACGGGTCCTTACCCGCTGCCTGCTGCTGCTCCGTCCACCTGTCTGCCCCCCCCCCCTGCTGGTCACAAATAAATTCGAACTTACCTTTTGCTGGTGTGGCGTTTGTAGTTGTTTCTGCACTAGAGTCTAGTGAACAATCATGTCAATGCCCTGATCTCTGCCAGTCTGATGGTTCCTCTTGATGCTGATGGTAAGTTACATTAACTATTAAACTAAGATATAATAGATTATATAAGTCGGCAATGAAGATTCAGTCTAAATCATGTTTTTTTTTTTTTTTGCTTAAATGCCAAAATAAATATTGGTAGAAACTAGATAAAATGTAACACAGCTAAGGTTAATGTGACATATTAATAAAACATACCAAAAAACTTTTTCACTAAACTTTTTCACATCACCATACTTTTACAGTTCCGCAGTTGACAAGATGACGCATAGATTAATAATGCAGCCTTTGAAACTTGACTTGTATAACTAAAACAACAAGACATGGAGCTGGACGTCTTTAATTCTGTTTTGCCAAGCTAAACTAGTAATATCTACTTTTATTATATTTTTTTAAAAATATATAGGATTAAGAGATATTTCACATAAAGCTACTGTCACGCTGTTTCCTGTCTTGCAATATTTGGCGATGTGTTGAAGAAAGCGTTCGGTGAGTCTAAACATCAGGAAATGAAGTGGATTTTGTGGAAAATTAAGTTCTACCGCGTCTTTAAAGCGTGTTTGTTACTTTTGATGTGCTTCTGTTCCAATGTGGATATTAACATCAACTGTTTTACAATGTGACAGAATCAAGTATGTTATTTGCATTGTGACAAACTAAGCAATATTTATCTTGCTGTAAGTTAAATTATTACTAACAAACTATTTAATTATGCCACAACTACATAGCATAGTTAAATAGTAATTAAATTAGAGCATTACTGAATTGTAATTTAATTATAACATAGGTTATAATTCCTGTTTTCAGCATCCAGCTTGGTGATGTGTGTGGAGCAGGTTTAGATTGAGTATGAACCTTATGATTGGATAATTGCTGCAATCTTTGCAGCACAGATGCATTGAATGGATAGCAGTGTTGCAAAAGTGTGTTTTACTTGGTCAGTGAAAGTGATGGTGCTCAAGCAGAAATATTTTGATATCTCCAAAGAACTTTGGTACAGGCAGACATAACTAGTGATTCAAATATCTCTGCTGCAGAGGCAAATAGGTGGTAGATGGCATTGGAGCGTTATTTTCTCATGGCTTCCAACAGGATTCACATGAAAGGAGTTCATAAGTTTCTTACGTCCTCTTACTCCTTTTCAAGCATGTTGAAATTATTGTAGTTCAAAAATGTGTGTCTTTTGCATTCCTTGTCATGTGTGTGACTTTATACTTCTATCAGGTTCAAAATAAATAAATTCATGAATGAAAGGCTCCTGAAAAATTGTTAGCTAAAACTTGTGAAGAATAATAATTTATAGCTCTCAATAAAAATATGTTTGTTTGTTTTTTAGCATGTTGGACATGAAAAGTCCAAAACTCTAGGTACTTTAATCAAAATAGCTACATTTTTAACATTTAAATAAGCAGATTTTCACTTTTTTGAAATGATTATTTCCATTTTTCTGCACGAGTCAAAACTAATCTAGTGTCCTGGTTTTTCAGCGATTTTTCAAGTCAAATTTGATGAATCAAACTATGAATCAAATTATTATAAAACGCACCTTAAATTTCTACCTTTATAGTGTAAATAAGGCAGCCAAAAAAAGCATGCAGGTATGACATTTTAATGTCTGGTTCTTTCCTGATGCAGATGACGAATGCACACCAGAACTACAAGTTCGTCGCAACACGACTTATAAAGCGAATCTTGGAGAAAAACTCACGATTCAATGTCCAGTTAAGCTCTGCAACAATTCACCACCAACAATCTGCTGGTCTAAAGTTGAAGAAAAAAATATTTGTCTCAATGACAACAATACCAATCACATCAAGACAGAATGGAAAAGATCAAATCTGTCAACAGGGATATTCTACTTGTTGTTTCAAAACATCGTCAGCAGTGATTCAGGTGGATATCAGTGTAAAGGTGGAGGCAGTATCAGTCATGTCATCTATGTCAATGTTTATGGTGAGTGATTTTTCAATTATATAGTTTATTTATATAGTTTATAG